GCCATTGCCTGCCAAGATGCTGTTCCACTCACACCGCTTGCACCCAGAGCAGCGGGACCAAAGCTGCTGCTGCTTGGCACCCGTCATGGCTGCAACGAAGATTGAACCGAACCCTCTGTGTTAGTTGAGACTGCAGTGCGCTGGCCTGCACCGAAGTCTAATCCCCCAAGCGCTGCGCGGAAGCCCAGAGGGATGGACTCCAGCAAAATGCTCGAGCCCAAGTTGCTTGAGCTGGGTGGCACCAGGGAGGGGGGGCTGGCACCAAGGAGCGGGTGTCGGCATGCATCGGGGGGGGTGGGGGCGGCATGCGCCAGGGAGGGGTGCTGCACCGGGGGGGGGGGGGGGGCGCCCGGAGGCCAGCGCCGCGGGGGGGGGGGCCGGCGCCGGGGGGGGGTGCCAGCACCGAAGGGGGTGCCGGCACCGAGGGAGCTGCCCTCACCGGGCCTCTGGTGCCGGCCCCGGGGAAGGGGTCTGTCGGGGGTGGACAGACCTCCTACCCGGACACGTCGATTAGTGAATTGGCCGTTTTCGGTTCGCGAGAGGGCGTCGCGGCCGTCATTTTTGCGGGTCCAGGTCCGTCGGTTTCGGTCCCAGGCTGTTTTCACGAAGGGGAGGTTTACTAAAGGGAGGTTTGTCCACCGCCGAGTCTGGCGTTTTGGGAGGGGGTGCGGCCTCTGGTGCTGGCCCTGGGGAAGGAGTCCGGCGTTGGGGGGGCGGGGGTGCTAGAGGGAGGGGGCCTCTCCGAAGTAGAATGAGAGAGGGGTGGAGGGGAAAAATTGAGATGGGGGGAGTGGGGAGGCTGCAGAGCGAAGAGAGGGGGGGCTGCAGAGCGAAGCTTGCCCCCTCTCCCTTCTTGCGAGGTCGCGCAAGCTTCGCTCTGCACCGGGGGAGGGGGAGGAAGGGAAGTGAGGGGGCAAAGGGGATTTTTGGATTGCGCTCTGATTCGCCGAGGAGATGGTCAGCTTGGTGCGGCACTCGCCAGCTGCTGGCAGAAACGCGCGGCATCTAGCAGCACGGGCGCCAAGGTTTGGTGAATCTCCCCCCCCCGTCCTGTCCCCGCATGCCCCCAGATTGGACGGAACTGTACGGGGCTGGCACGACTAATGGCCAGCTCGACGTAGCTCTCATTCTGCACCGGAAGGGAAGGATAAGGGGCAACACTCAGGGGAGGTATGATAAGATCCGAGAAGAGAGAGTAAAACTGGGACGCGTATCCAAACTTTCCAGCTCGGTAGGAGGGCGGACCGAGGGGGAGAGTCGCGAATAGGCTGCCTGACCACTCCGACCCGACTGAGCTCCTATAGTGTGGTGCCGCACAAGGAACGTACAACAACAGTTCGTCTTCCCGAGAGGAGAAGGAAAAACATCTTCGCGCCCTGACGCCCGGAAACGTAAGTCGAGACGGCGGCGGAAAACCGTGCGATTATCGCCGCGCTAGTCCGAGGGAGGGCGCGGGAGGGCAGATTTGGCGCGACAAAAACATCCTCCCAGCCAGTCCTCCACATGTGCAACTAGTGGCCAAGCCGGGCCAGGCTCGCATTGACAAGCGCATCGTCGTAACTGAAGGCCTGAGGAGGGGGAGGAGCAGGCATGTGCGGGGGGGGGGCATGATGACGAGAGAGAGGGAGAAGGCTGGTCCTCAGACCGATCACCTCCTATTCTCGTGAGCGCGAGAAATAGGCCGCGTGGAGCACCACAGCGGGAGTTACCACGCGGAAAAATGTGCCAAGATAAATGCAGCCGCGTCGGAGTACGTACCTGGGCGAGGGGGGGGGATCTTCGCATCCTCGCGACGCGGGCCGAGGCGGCATACAGCACGCGGTTATCAAGGCGCCAAGACGGAGGCTTGAGGGAGGGGCTCTCTCTCAGTAGCCACCCGCGCTGCTACTCCATCTGGAACCCTCGCTGGCGGCTGGCGAGGCGCGGAGAAAGCAGGCGAGGCGAGGGGGATGATCGTGAGGGCAGAGCACGAAGGAGTGAAGCTGGCACGCAGGCTTACATCCTCCGGCACTCCTGATCGTCCCATCCAATCCTCCCTCACTTCACAAACATAAGCAGCAAGTGTGTAATTACTTACATGTCATGAAACTCGGCGATAAAATCTGGCCGCGATAGTCGCGCGGAATCAGTGCAAGCTGAAACATCTTCGCACACTCGCAGCGCAGCGGGAAGAACATGTCGGCGATCGCCATCATGGCAAGGCGGGCAAGGGGTGTCCCGGCGACCAGCTGCAGCGTAGAGTCGGCGTGGCCCGGCATCAGTACAGTGAAACCTGAGTCGCCGGCCGCCGCGGGGACGTCCACGGATTGCTTTTGGGAAAGCTCGCAGAACGCGCCATGAACCGTAATTCGCATCCAGCATGCCTCCGGGGTCCAGGGCACGCGGGACATATAGCCCAGCAGCGCAGCGGTGGTCGCGGGATTGACGTAGTCCTTCATGGACGCGAGCATGGAACCACGGCCGTGCGAGGGCAGCGTCGGCCTCCGGCTTGCGAGGTGTTCCGTACTGCCATCCGCCATGAGGCCGGCTGGGTCCCAGTTCCTCGCGCCCTCCTCCCGCACCTCGGCCAGTGACGACCTCGCAGCTGGTAGCGGGGTAGGGCCCGTCGGCAGCCGCGCCGCCTCCCCCTGGCCCCGAGAGGGGGCGCTGGGGGGGAGGGGCCTGTCCATCTCTGGTCTCGCAGCTGGAAGCGGGGTAGGGCCCGTAGGCTGCCTCGCCACCTCCCCCGGGCCCCGACAGGGGGCGCTGGGGGGGAGGGGCTTGCCCACCTCCGCCGTGCGGCCATCCCGCCCAGCGGCCTCAGCACCAGCAGCGGCATCACGGTCTAACGCCACGCGCTGCCAATAACGGCGCAAGGCAGCCCCACGGTCTGGGCTGGGGAGCCACATCGCCGCCGCCGTCAACTTGCCCCCTGTCACGAGCAGCGCGCCGGCATCGGAGACCACGTCGTAGCGGTCCACGGCAGCCGGAAGGTCCTCCGGCGCGGGGCGAGTCCGCATTTGCACCCTCTGCATCGCCATCGGCCGAAGGAGAGCAGACGTAGGCGGAGCAGCCTCAGGAGGATCCTGGGGCCGCCGCTGCTCAGCAGTCATGCCGAGCTCCACTGCGGCCGCGGTGCTCAGGGAGGAGTCGGAGTCGGCGCTGGCGTGGTCGTCGGCACTACCCTGGTGCTCGCTCTGCAACTCCACGCCGGTGATCAGGTCAGCCAGCAGCGCCTCGGGAGGACCAGCACTGGCTGGACGTGCAGCAAGGCGGGCACGAGGCAGAGCATGATCTGCATCATCACTAGCAGGAACACGTACGGCAGGGACGGCACGAGGGAGAGCACGAGTGCGAGCCACACCAGCGGCTGCAGCCTGGTGCTCCTCTGCGGTCAGCCGTGCCGTATCAGCCTCGCGCTCAGCCGCTGCTAAGCGTCCAGACCCAGCCTGTCGCGAGGCACCAGCGCGGCGCCTCGGCGAAGCAGCGCGGTATGTTGTCACCAGGCACGTTGTCACCAGGGGGCCGGCAGTGGCAGCGGCTTGCGACCGCGCCGCCAGAGAAAAAACCAAGGGGCTGGATCGCGAGCGCAAGCCAACCAGCCTCGGCGACCATCACGGCGCAGCTGGTGCCATCGCCTCGGCGCCCAAGCCAGCCAGACCTGGCGCAGGGCTGGCAGGCGGCAGCGGTGATGATGCTGACGATGATGATGATGCTGCTGATGATGGCGAGGTTGATGGCGGAGATGGTGATGATGATGATGATGTTGCTGCTGATGACGATGCTGATGATGATGAGGACGATGCTGCGGATTATGGCCTGATGCTGATGATGCTTTTACTGATGGTGTTAATGGCGGCGATGACAATGATGATGCTGATGATGGTGATGAAGATGATGCTGCTGATGCTGATGTTTACGATACTGATGTTGCTGCTGGTGATGATGACGATGCTGATGATGATGCTGCGGGTGAATGTGCTGATGCTGATTCTGATGATGACGATGATGATGATGACCATGGCGTTGGTGATGCTGATTATGATGACGATGATGATGATGATGCTGAGGATGATCATGATTATGACGCTGATGATGGTGAGGTGATGGCGGACATGATGATGATGCTGTTGATGCTGTTGCTGATGATAATGCTGATGCTTATGATGATGATGATGATGCTGACGATGACGATGATGATGATGGTGATGATGATGATGTTGTTGATGCGGATGATGGTGATGATGACGATGCTGACGATGATGGTGATGATGAATATGATGGCGCAGCTTATCACGCTGGTGCTGATGCTAATGCGGATGATACAGCTGATGTTGATGATTATGATGATGACGATTACCATGCTGTTGATGATGCTGATGATAATGCTGATGCTGTTGATGATGATGGTCGTGCTGATGACGCTGATGATGTTGAGGTTGATGGCGGAGATGATGATGCTTTTGCTGCTGATGATGATGTGGATGATGATGACGATGATGATGATGATGACGACGACGATATTGTTTATGTTTGTGGTGATGATGATACTGATGATGATGAGGTTAGGAACAGGAGCAGGAGCAGGAGCTGAAGCAGGAGCAGAAGCAGCAGAAAGAAAGGAAGGAAAAAAGGAAGGATGGAGCACGATGGCGACGATGATTGTGGTGATGGTGCTGATGGTGATGATGAGGATGGCGATGAGGCAAATGACCAGGAGGAGGGAGGGAGACAGACGACGACCGACGACGACCGACAACGACGACCACGAGGACCGGCGACGACGCCGACAGTGGCCGCGCAGCGGTGGCCCTTGGCAGTGACCACCGGCGGCGGCGGCGACGACCGACCGACGGACCGACCGATCGGTCGTCGGTCGGTCGCCGGTCTCTCGGCCGACCGATCGGTCGTCGGTCGGTCGGGTGGCCATCGGTCGGCAGCGGCGGCGGCCCACCGGCGGAGCGCGCCGGCAGTCTGGCCAGCGGCGCCCCCCAGCGAGCGGCGCCAGCCCGCGGCCCGAGGCTCTCGGCGCCCTGCCTCCGCGACGCGCTGGAGCCGGAGCCGCCCTTTGGCAGAGGCGGCGTCGTCGTCTTCGTCGTCGTCGTCGTCGTCGTCGTCGTCATCAGTCGTCAGTCGTCGTCGTCAGTCGTCAGTCGTCGTCAGTCGTCGTCGTTGTCGTCGTCGTCAGTCGTCGTCGTCATCCTCGTCAGTCGTCTGTCGTCGTCAGTCGTCTGTCGTCTGTCGTCAGTCGTCGTCGTCGTCGCCGTCAGTCGTCAGTCGTCGTCAGTCGTCGCTGTGGTCGTCGTCGTGGTCGTCGTGGTCGTCGTGGTCGTCGTCGTCGTCGTCGTCGGCGCCTTGTGGCGGAGGCAGGGGCCCAGGCTTTCGGGAGTTTCGTAAAATCTTAGATTTTTGGTGGAATCCTATTTTTTTAAAGAAAAACAGCGAAGACGCCTACAGCGAATTTGCTGCTGCCCCCCGCCTTCTGGACGCGCCTATATGCGGCCGAACGTTGTGGCCAGAGCTCGGCCAAGCTATCGGATCGCGTGTTCCCCCAGCCGTTGTGGAAAGTCAGATGTTTCTGTAGAGTCATGTGTTTTTTGAAGCGGGGTTGAATCAGTTTCAAGCCCCCTCTCGGCGGTCCGCGCCTGCTCTGCGCATCCCCTCAGGACCATCGCAGGGGCAGATTTCCGGTCCTGGCTGTTAGAATGAGGCGACCCTAGCCGCGGCTAGTCATTGCGCCCAGCTGCTGAATGCCCCCCCCTCCCCCGAATGAGGCGACCCTGGCCGAGGTTAGTTATTGCTCCCAGCTGCTGAATGCCCCCCCTTCGAGTGTGATGGGCATCTGGGCGATCTCCCTCATTATCATCCCCGACCCTTCAGGCTGCTCAGTTACTTAGCTCTGCGCTGGGTTCTGCCCTTGGTTGCTCGAATGTGGAGCCTAGGCGGTCGGTCGGACCACAGCGGATGTGCATATGTACGACGCTTTAGTCCTTTCACCCTGGCCTCGTATTGCTGTTGCTGTTGCTGTTGCTGTTGCTGTTGTTGCTGTTGCTGTTGCTGTTGCTGTTGCTGTTGCTGTAGCTGTTGCTGCTGCTGCTGCCGTTGTTGTTGTTGATGATGATGATGATGTAGTTGTTCTTGTAGTTGTTGTCGTTGTTTATGATGATGATGATGATGATGATGATGATGATGATGATGATGATGATGATGATGATGATGATGATGATGATGATGATGATGATGTTGTTGTTGTTGTTGTTGTTGTTGTTGTTGTTGAATGTTAATTACTGGCCAATTATTCTTGTTGGACTCCTTACAGGCGCCCTGGCGCTCTCGCCGAGGCGCCGGCTGCATTTTCATTGAAAACGAGGCTCACTCTCAAGCGTTTTGGGGGACCGCCAAAACTGGCATCCCAACAAGACAACAAGAACGCTCCCGTTCGAGACTTCTTCCTTTTTTGCTCAGGGCCAGTGCTCTTGCTCGCCGCCGAAAGCAGCCGTCTCAACAAAACCAGCGCTCCCGCTCGAGACTTCCTCCCGTTTTAGCTTGGACAGGCGCGCTGCTCTTTCTCTCATCGGCGCCGCCCCCCAGCAACAACAACGCTCCCGCTCGAGACTTCCTCCCTTTCTTACTCAAGGCGGTGCTCTTGCTCGCCGCCGAAAGCCTCCGTCCCGACAAAACCAGCGCTCCCGCCCGAGACTTCCTCCCGTTTTACGCTGGACTGGCGCCCTTTTCTCCTTCTCCTCCTCCTCGTCCTCGTCGTTCTCCTCCTCCTCCCCCACAATTACTCAATATGAATACTACTCTCCCTCTTCCCCTGATGGCGTCCTGGGAGTAGTAGACCCCCCCCCGCGTATTGTTTTTTACACAGGATTCCCGGGAGTTGGGTTTTCGCCGGCTTTTTTTTCAAAATGCTGCTCTCGCTGAGGCGCCGGCCTCATTTCTGCTCCCGAATCGTTCCGAATCGTGCTCCCGCTGCAGCGTGGGCCTCATTTTCGGATCGGTGTTTTGCCTCAGTCGTTCAGGATAGCGTTCTCGCCCCAGCGCGGGCCTCTTTCTCGCGCGCCCATCCGCCCGCCACCACCGCGCCGCACCACGCCCCGCCCCGCCGCACGCACACCCACCGCCACTTCCACCCACCAACGCACGCACGCACGCACGCGCACCACCACCGCGCACCGCCACCACCACCGCACTACCCCACCCACCACCACCACGCTACACCGCGTCACACCACATCACACGCGCGCACACACAGACACACACGCACGCACGCACACACACATACACACGCACACACACACACACGCACACACACACACACACACACACGCCACCACCACCACCGCCATCACGCACGTACGCACCTGGCCCACCACCAAACCACCAAGACGCCACACCACGTCACACCACAGCACACGCGCACACACGCACACACACACACACATACACACCACCACCACAACAACCACAACCACGCACACACGCACGCACGCACGCGCACCACCACCCACTACGCACACGCGCGCGGAGCCACAGGTCCGCTACGACACGCGTCCGCGGATAGAGAAAATCAGCGCCATGGTAAGGGATGGGAGGGAGGGGTAGGATGTCAGATGTAGACGCGAGCGCACCTAACTTGTCCTCCTCCTCCTCCTCCTACTCCTCCTCCCTCCTCCCCCCTCCCTCCTCTTCCTCCCTCTTCCTTCCTCCACCCCCTCCTCTTCTCCCTCCTCCCTCCTCCCTCCACCGTCCCTCTTTCCTCCCTCCTCCTCTCTCCCCCCGTCTCCTCCCTCTCCTCCTCCTCTCTCCTCCTCCTCCTCCTCCTCCTCCTCCTCCTCCTCCTCGTCCTCCGCTCCTCCCTCCTCTCCTCCCCCTCTCTGCCTCCCTCTTCTCCCTCCACCCTCCTTTCTCCCCTCCTCCTTCCTCTCCCGTCCCTCTTTCCTCCCTCCTCCTCCCTCCTCCTCCCTCCTCGTTTCCCTTTTCGTCACCCTTGTCTCCTCCCTCCTCCTGCCTCTCTCCTCCCTCCTCCCTTCCCCTTCCGTCCTCCCGCATCGTTCCCGCTTGATGCTTCCTTTCCTTTTACTCAGGACTGAGGCCCTTGCTTCGGCATCGCCTCTGGGGGGCTTCCAAGATTTCCTGTTGAACCTTAATTTTAACCAGCTAACATTTTTGAAGAGCACAGATAATGTGGTGGTGGAGGAGGAGAAGAAGGAGGACGGATGACTTCACTCAAAGTGTGCCCTTCGACGCTCGCACCCTGTTTTTGGACCAGGAAAGTCTTGGTGCTCAAACTGTGCCCCTAGCCCCCCGGATTGCAGCGACGCCGGCTCCCGCCTGAGACTTCCTCCAAATTTGTTCAGGACCCCCGCTCCCGCTTGAGATTCCCCGCGATTCACCCAGGATCGGTTCTTCCGCTTGTGACTTCTTCGCAATTTAGCCAGGACCCCCGCTCCCATCTGAGACTTCCTCACAATTTATTCAGGAACGGCGGAGACTTCCTCGCGATTGAATCAAGATTTCCTTGCAATTTCATCGAGGCCCCCGTTCCCGCCAGAGAACCCTTCAAACTTTATTCTGGAATTGCGCTTTCGCCTGCGACTTCCATGCAATTTACTCAGACATCGCGCTTTCGACGCTCAGGAAACACGCTGCGCCAAGGACACCGTCACAAATTACTTAGGAATCGCGCTCTCGTCATGCTCAGGCATCCCGCTTGAATGTTCCACCCGCCCGATCCGCCCTTCAGGAGATCGCCCGCCCGTCGTGGGCTCCCGACCGAGACTTCCTTCAGGAACGTTCGCGCTCTTACCTTCCTGCTCCTCCTCCCTCTCCCTCATCCCTCCTCTCCTTCCTTCTCTCTCCCTCCTCTCTTCCCTCATCCTTATGCCTCTCTGGCCTATCCCCTCTCCCTCCTCCCTTCTTCTTCCCCTCTCCTGCCTCCTCCCTCCCTCTTTCTTTCTCTCTCTGCCCTCTCTCTCTCTCTTTCTCTACCTCTTTTTTGTTTTATCTCTCTCGCTCTCTCTTTTTCTTTCTGCCTCTAATCAACCGCCCCCCTGTTCGCTCCTTCTCTCCTGGCGTTTTCCCTTTTCCTTCGTCCCCACCCCTCCCTTCCTCCCACTATCCCCCGTTCTCCCTCTTTTTTTGCAGGGCCCCCACCAATTCCAATGGCGGGCGCATGTACGCCCACGAAGGAGTGTCCGCCCGTTCAGGTTTGCCCATCTGTCTAAGCCCGCCGCCCCCCCGCAAACAGAAATAATCCCCCCAAAGGGGGTGCGATCGAAGACAAAAAGGGCGGGTATCGAGGGCGTGGGGAACTCGTTTTACATGACACACGGGCAGGTAAGAACGAACAGTCTTATATTGAATGATTGTTGTTGTTGTTGTTGTTGTTGTTGTTGCTGACCTCACACACATGAAGAATAGCTATGGTTGATCCCCCTGTGCACATTGTATTTTTCAATTCAAGTGCCTTTCCCGGCGCTCGCACACTGTTTTCTATCAAGGAAAGTCTTCGTCGTCAAACTGCGTTGATGGCTCCGGATTACAACGACAACGGCTCCCGCTTGAGACTTCCTCACAATTTAAGCAGGACCCCCGCCCCCACCCGAGACTTCCTCGCATTTTATTCAGGAATCGCGCTCTCTCTTGGGACTTCTTTACAATTTGTTTAGGAATCGCTTTCTCGGCGCTCTGGAGTCGCGCTCTAGCCGGAGACTTGCTTGCAATTTAGTCAAGAATAGCGCCCTTGCGTTGGAATTTCCCGCAATTTGCTGCACCGCGCTCCCGACACTCAGGCGCCCAGGAGTCGCGCTCACGATTCGGGCCCCCTCACAGGGAGTTTGAGAATCGCGATTTCGCTGCCCTTCGTGGCTCCTTTGCAGCCCCTTCGTGGCCCCCTCGCTGCCCTTCGTGGCCCCGTTGCAGCCCCTTCGTGACCCCGTTGCAGCCCCTTCGTGGCCCCGTTGCAGCCCTTCGTGGCCCCGTCGCTGCCCTTCGTGGCCCCGTTGCAGCCTTTCGTGGCCCCCTCGCTGCCCACCGTGGCCCCGTTGCAGCCCTTCGTGGCCCCCTCGCTGCCCTTCGTGGCCCCGTTGCAGCCCTTCGTGGCCCCCCCGCTGCTCTTGGTGGCCTCCTTGCGCCCCTTCGTGGCCCCGTCGCTGCCCTTCGTGGCCCTGTTGCAGCCCTTCGTGGCGCTCTCACTGCACTTCGTGGCCCCCTCGCTGCCGTTCGTGGCCCCCTCGCTGCCCTTCGTGGCTCCGTTGCCGCCCTTCGTGGCCCCCTCGCTGCCCTTCGTGGCCCCGTTACACCTCTTCGTGGCCCCCTCGCTGCCCTTCGTGACCCCATATATGTGTGCCTTTCGTGGCTCCCGCTCGTTCGCGCCCGTCGTGGCCCCATATGCGTGCCCTTCGTGGCCCCGCTGTCGCCCTTCGTGGCCCCCTCGCTGCCCTTCGTGGCCCCGTTGCTGCCCTCAGTGTCCCCGTCCTTGCCCTCCGCGGCCCAATATACGTATGCCATTCGTGGCCCCCGCTCGTTCGCGCACGTTGCGGCCCCATGTGCATGCCCTTCGCGGCCCCGCTGTCACCCTTTGCGGCCCCCTCGCTGTCCTACGTGGCCCAGTTGCTACCCTCAGTTGCCCCGTCGTTGCCTTCTGTGGCCCCGCATTATCTGCCCCTCGTGGCCCCTGCTCGTTCGCACTCTTCGTGGCCCCTTACGCATTCCCTTCGTGTCCCCGCTGTCGCCCTTCGTGGCCTACTTCGTACCCGTTTTGGCCCTGCTGTCGTTCTCTCTCTCGCTCTCGCTTTCGCTCGTCGTCGTCGTCGTCGTCGTCGTCGTCGTCGTCGTCGTCGTCGTCGCCGTCGTCGTCGTCGGCGTCGTCGTCGTCGTCGTCGTCGTCGTCGTCGTGGTCGGTCCCCTGTCCGTCCCTCTTGGAGTCGGGTTGCCGCCGATCAGCGCTGCCGCTGGCCAGGCCGACGGTCCGCGGCCGCCCCGCCGCTTGCCGGGGCCCAGCCTGCAGGGAAGAACGGTATACCCCCCAAAAGGGGTACGATCGAAGACAAAAGAGGGTGGGCATCGAGGGTTTGGGAAATACGCGTTAACGGACACTCGAGCAGATAAGAGCGAGCAGTCTTAAAATGTTTGTTGTTGTTGTTGCTGCTGCTGCTGTTGTTGTTGTGATTGTTGTTGGTGTTGTTGTTGTTGTTGTTGTTGTTGTTTCCTCTCTCTCTCTCTCTCTTCCTGCTCCCTTCTCTATTGCTTTCGCTTTCGAGCCAGTGCCAGTGTGTATATTATGATACGCGTGTGGGTACTGGGCAGGCAGCGGTTTCTTCCTGGTGTGCAAGCAAGTGTTTGGAGAGTCGGTGTCTTCTTCTTCTTCTTCTCCTTCTTCCTCTTACTTTTTAGCGTTTCTTTTCATCATATCCTCTTCCTTCTTCTTGCATGCCAGGTTGTTTTTTACACACGTCGGCCCCGTAGCTTGGATCACCTTGGGCAGACAAGCGTTCGTGAGCTGTTTGTTCCCGTGGTTGGAGTAAACATCGTGGTTCCCATGGGGGTTGGGCCAGAGGTCAGGGTCGCTCACGGCTTGACGGCCCCACGAGAACGAGATGCTGTCACCAGGCTGCGCCGCCACTGACTTCCGATGCGCTGGCGGATAAGCGCCGCCTGCTCTCGTGCCCTCCTTCCCTCGTCCGCCATGTGCTGTGCCCGCACCCTCATTTTTCTCCTCCCGGTGCAAAGCTATCGTGTCGATTCGACTCTCCTGCGTGTGCGTGCGAAAGAAGGATGCCGCCACACACTCCTCGTATTCAAACGAGTCCTCTAGACCAGAGCAGCGGAGGAGGAGGAGGAGGAGGAGGAGGAGGAGGAGGAGGAGGAGGAGGAGGAGGAGGAGGAGGAGGGTAATCTTAAAGGAGGAAGGCGTAATGAGCTCCTCAGGCTCCTGAGGCTTGTGGAGCTCGCCGGGACTGCTGGGACCCCCAGAGGCGCCCCCCGCAGGTCCGCATGCACCGCCCTCACCAGGGGACCCGCCCCCCTCCCTCCCCCCTCCTTCCGCCCCTGCCTCCCTCCTCCTTCCCTCCGCCCTTCCCCCCCCCCTCCCCCCCCCCACCTCTCCTCCCTCCCCACCCCTTTCGCATCCCTCCTCCCTTCCCTCCTTGGCTCCCCCCCGTTCGCCTCCTCCCCTTTCGCCTCCCCCCTCCCCCCCCCCTCCTTGGCTCTCCGCTCCTTGGCTGCCCCCCCCCCTGGGTCGGAGGCGTGGACGCGCTCCAGCAGGCCGACTCCCCGCCGAGGAAGGCCCACGGGGGGAGGGAGAGGGAATTCGAGACGAAGCCAGGGCGAGGGCAGAGTCGGGCGAGGATCAGCCCAGAGGTCCGACGCCATGACAGAAAGTTGGAGCGGCGGGATTCGGGCCCTTTTCGCCTCCGGAGGCTCTCGCTGGGCCTCGGGACCGTCAGAAGATGGCTCAGGACGAAAAACCGGCCCTGAGGAGGTGGTCCAGACCTCCGGGGCCCACGCACCGAAGAAACAGGAGCAGAATCGAGCAGCCTCCCAAGGAAGCTTTCCTGGAAGCCTACAGGCCCCTCTGAGGGCTTAGGCCCCCCCGTCGTTTCAGACAGACTGTCCCCCATTCATCCAAGCCCGCCTTCCAGTACCCCAGAAGTCCCGACCCTCTCTCCAGTAGGACGAAGCAAGGGCGAGGGCAAAGTCGGGCGAGGATCAATCGGCGATCTCTGAGATCTGGCGGTTCTGGGCTTTGAACGACATGAGGGCTGATTTGTTTTGTCGCTTTTTCGGTGCCCGGAGGCCGTTGTCTGGCTCCGGGACCGTCAACCAGACGGTTCAGCATGACAGGTCGGCCCTGGGGAAAGGGTCGGGACCTCCAGGGACCCCACATTCAAAAGCTCAAGACGTCGGATGTCTGGGTGCCGAATGGAGGGAGGGAGGGGTTCAAAATCGATCTTCGATCGTCGATGGTTGGAGTTTGTGAGCGTTTCTGCTGTTGCTTGTCTTTCGCCCAACCACCCCTCTTTGGGCCTCTGGAAGCTCACGGAGGCTTCTGAAGGCCCCTGGACGACGGCCAAGGGTTACCAGAGATTCTGAAGGACATCCTGTGCACCTCCAGTGGCGTCTGGGAAGTTCGGGGACCTCTAGGGACTGTCAGGGACATCCGGGAGGGAGAGGCAGGAGGGAGGAGGGAGGAGGGATCGGAGGGGGGAGGGAGGTGGAAGGAGGGGGAGGAGGAGGAGGAAGGCTGTTTGCGGGAACTCTATCCCCCCGCAGTCGCCCCTGGGCGTTGCGCCCGGCCGCGCGCGCGCGCCTTCGGGGGGGCCAGCCTCAGCGCGCCAGCCGCGATCGGCGGCGCGCGGACCACGAGAAGGTGGACATCCGGGAAGAGGGCGATCGTCCACCTGCGGGTAAACCTCCGGGAGAGGGTGATCATCCACCAGTTGTTGACCTGCAGGCCCGACATCTGCAACATCAGGTAAAGGTTACGATACCAACCTACCTCGGTGGAGACCCACCGTATGCCGAGTCTGTACACGCACAGAGGAGTACGAACAGATGCAGCTCTGGGCTACCTCGTCCAACACAGGCTACAACCACACCTCATCGATGAACATAGCTACGACCGCCTGCGTGATGGCGTCCACTAGACGGGACAGGCTGCGTAGCATGTAGCCCGAAGACGAGCTGCGTAACAGGCAGCCCAGGTACGATATCCACCACCAGTACAACACCAATATCGACGGCAAGTACGACGGCAAGAGTGGCTGCTTGAACCCAGCCGCGGCCGTCTTCAAGCCGAGCCAGACCACGATCGTCCCCTCAGGCGAGAAATCAAAGTACCGGGGCGTCCTTGTGTTTCCTTTCTCAGTTACTTGGGCCAGCGTGACCAACTACAGTGGCCCCGAGAGCAGATGCGACTGCCCGTGCTACGACGACCACCGTGATTACGACTTTTCACAGATGCCAGGACTATGACTTCCTGTTCAACGACGCCGTCGGGGACCACTGGTGCAAGTCCAGGAAGGTGCAGGAGGCCAAGAAGGAAGAGGAGGCCCGGGAGGCTCAGGAGGACAGGATGGCTCGGGAAACCACACTAGAGCTACAGGGGCAACCAGCTGAGCTACGCGGACGAGTTGCCGAACTTCCAAAGCAGCGCGCAGAGCCAAGAGGGCCACCAGCTTAGCTTCAAGAGCCACCAGGGACCACAGGCTGTTCTACGAGGGTCAGGCGCAGAACTACGAGTGCCACCAGCTGGGCTGCCAGGGCCACCTGCCGAGCCACGAGAGCCACCAGCTGAGCTACGAGGGCCACCTGCTGAGCTACGAGGACTGCCAGCTGTGCCACGAGGACCACCGGCAGGGTTCCGTGAGCCACCCGCCAGCTACCAACTCCGCCAACTTGGCTACCAGAGCCACCAGCAGGATTACGAGAGCCAGCTGAGCTTCGAGGTCCGCAAGCTGGACCACGAAGACCGCCAGCTGAACAGCGGGGGCTAGCAGCAGAACAACGGGGACCACGAGCTGAGTTTTGTGGAACAAGTGCAGATCAACGAGGCCTCCAGTGGAGCTACCAGCGCCACCAGCTGAACTACAAGGTCCACGAGCAGAGCCTCGATAGCCCGTGACGCTGCTACGAGAGCCACCAGCTGAATAACAGGGGCAACAAGCCGAGCTGCGAGGGCCGCGAACAGGACTCCGAGAGCCACCTGCTGGGCTAGTGGGACCACGCGCTGAGCTACGATGGCCGCGCGCAGAGCTACGACAGCCACCAGTTGATGCACCAGGGCCACCTGCTGCTGAGCTACGTCCGCCACAAGCAGAGCTACGAGAGCCACGGGCGGGGCTACCAACGCCACCAGCTGAGCTTGCAGAGCCACACGCAGGGCTGCGAGGGCCACAATCTGAGCTTCGAGGTCGCCACGCCGAGCCACGAGGACCACAAGCCGGGCTACGAGGATCACCCGATGATTACGAGCGCCACCAGCAAGGTTACAAAAAGGCCACAAGCAGAATTTCGCGGGACACGAGCTGAGCTGCAAGGGCCTCCAGCAGAGTTCCCAGCGCCACCAGCTGAACTGCAAGGTCCATGAGCGGAGCCTCTGGAGCCCATGGCACAGCTACGAGGATCACCAGCCGAACAACGGCGGCAAAATGCCGAGCTACGAGGGCCGCGAGCAGGACGCCGAGAGCCACCAGCTGAGCTACGAGGGCCACGAGAGGAGGACGAGCAGAGCGACGAGCAGGACGAACTTATGTTTATCATGTGCGCCGCGCTGGAGGGGCTGGACTTCCTCAGGGCCATGATCACCGAGGGGGAGGCACTCACAGAGATTTTCGCCAGCAGGACCATATCCCAAATCTCGAGCCCCGCGTACAACAAGCCTCACACACGTTGGTGCCCATAGTCATGGGCGTTGGTCGCTAAGAGGAGGACGAGGGCGTGATGGTCCGCGCGCTGGGGTGTTCAGGAGCGATCGAAGCGCTCTTGTCCGCCCGCGACCACCACGAGGCGCACCAAAAACGGATGCGGATGGGCCAACGACCCATGCCGATCCCCGCCGCAGAAATTCTACGACGACAGGAGGAAGACGAGTGCGATGACGAGGGCAACGAGAGCGGCGTAGATCACGAGGAGAGTGGCGATCATGACAACGTCTATTCAAACGAAGACGAGTGGAACGCTGAGTACTACGTCCTAGGAGCCGACGACTCCGTGGAGTCACGGCGAGACCAGCCTGCCTGAAGCCGCAGAAGATTAAGAGCTACTACGACGCTACGGACAAGGTTCTACATGTACATGTTACACACAACATATCACGTCTGCCCATTTAGCGCCGGAGACATCATCATCATAGACATCATCTGCACTACTGACAAGTCACCCCCCCGTGTACCACGCCACTGGCAAGGTGTTACGTCTATGGTACGTACCACATCTACGGTTGAGTGGCCTCGCCGCCCCACCCACCTCCACAATTACACAATTTGAATACTTCCCTCCTGTCTTCCCTGATGACGTCCGGAAGATGTTCGGCCCCCCTCCGGGTATTGTTGTTTTCATACAGGATTCCCTGGAGTTGGGTTCTCGTGTTTTTTTTTTTGTTTTTAAATGTTGTTTATATGTATGGTGTTCCCATTGAAGCGCTGGCCTTATTTTTGGGCTTCCGCTCGTTCCGAATCGTGCTCCCGCTGCAGCGCTGGCCTCATCTCCGCGCTTCCGCTCGTTCCGAATCGTGCTCCTGCTGCAGCGCTGGCCTCATCTCCGCGCTTCCGCTCGTTCCGAATCATGCTCCCGCTGCAGCGCTGGCGTCATTATTTCCACTGCAATGCCACGGCATGCGATGCAATGCTATGTGGTGTTCCGCTGTACGATGCCATGCCGTCAGCTGCAACGCAAGGATCTGCAGTGCTTGACTATGCAGTGCCACGTCATGCTTTGCCATGTTACGCCTTGATCCTCACTTTCATGCTATACCATGTGTTGTTCTGTGCCGCTGTGCGATGCCATTCTTTTCGTTGCAAGGCTGTGCGATTCAATTCTTCATTACGCAACGCCACGCCATGCTATGACATACTGCGTTTTGCCGTGCTCTTCTACGCCCTGTTATGGTGTGTGTTTACGATGCATTGCTCACCCTCTCGGGGTCATTGCCCTGCTCGACATCCGATTGTGCGAATAGAGAGGAGACCTACGCCATGGTGAGGGACGGGGGGGAGGGGTCGGACGTGAGCTATGACGCGAGCGCGCGTAGCTTGCCTCCTCCCCCTCCCCCTCCAAACTGTCAGGTTGTATTCGCGGGTCTGGGCGGCCTTTCCCTCCCCAGCCCGCTCCTGAGAGGGCGGGCCTGCCCCAGCCCCGGCCGGGCCCGCGCACGTCGGGCGCGGGGCGGGCCGTGGGTGACGCGCCCAGCGACTGCGGAGAAAGGGGAAGGAGGAGGAGGAGGAGGAAGAAAAGGCGGAGGAGGAGGATGAGGAAGAAAACGGAGAAGAGGAGGAGGAGGAGGAGCAGGAGGAGGAGGAGGAGAAAGAGGCGGAGGAGGAAGAGGAGGAGAAAGATGAGGAGGAGGAGGAGGAAGAGGAGGAGGAAGAGGGGGAAAGGGTGAGGAGGAGGAGGAGGAGGAGGAGGACGAGAAGGAGGAGGAGGAGGAGGAGAAGGAGGGGGAGGAGGAGGAGGAGGAGGAGGAGGAGGAAAACCAAGGAGGAGGATGACGAAGAACAGAAATAATAACAATACGAAGAAGGCAATTTCGAATAATCACAATCATAACAAGAAAAATAATACGAAGA